GAAGTCGCATTTGGGGAAAACATTCATTTTAGGACAAAATTTGCCAAGGCCAGAAAAGTCAACACTTTTCGCGATTTCAGTGAAATTTTCACAGAATGCAGACACGACCATCTGCTCTAGACCCTCAAATTTTCAAGTTGGCTTCTGCTTCTGATTCAAAATTATGAATTTTTTAAGAGAACGACCATTTGTGCAATTACCCTCATTTTCAGTACAAAATTTGCCATTGAATTTATCTCTCAGATAAGCAGTATATCACCTGATTTTCATGTGTTAAAGGGTGAATGTTCTGTTTTCCTCCCGCCACTCTTGTTATCCGCCAAATTTAATTACCAGCAAATTTAACAGAAAGTATACAAACCGGCCCGTAAAGTGTTAACTTAAACTGGACTAAAAGTCCGAACATCGATTGGATTGATTATTTCCGAAACCCCTCCAGCCACCAACGACGTTCTAAATTATGAACAAAAAACGATTTTTGCTTTGCTTTTTGCAGTTTGCTTGACTTATGCATACAGAGTGTCCCAAGCGAACGGTGCAAAACGTAAAAAACTTGCAACTCGCTTAACTTGCAAAAGCACACGAGATTTGATTAAACTGCATCCAACAGTCTCTTGCTCCCCTCTATGTAATAACTGCTGGAATTTCCGCTATGTGGAAATACAGGGGGCAGTTTAACGAACTCCTATTATCTTCCTAACCGCTGTGTGCATACTTTGGCCCCCTTTGGGATTCTTTTCGTTCAGTGACCCTTTGCAGGGTTCTCCCCATTGTTTTATGAAATTTTTTGGATGTTTATATTATGTTCAGTTTCGTTACCAGGTGGACCAGTAGGCAACGTTTCCCTGCATTCCAGCAATGACTCGGGATTTTCCAATGATCCGCCACCTCAGCCTGAAATTGACTATTCAGATGACGATTCTGTTCCAGGACAAACCAAGTTGTCTAGTCGGTAAGATAAAGTTGATTTTTTCAAGTTTGTTGCTATCAACTTCTATAAGCAACCATTACACTTTCTTGTATAACTAACTTGACACTGATTCGACCAAAAAAACGGGAAACAAATAGACATGATTTGCAACGTAAGCGTCTGTATTCACCCTTCTGTTCAATTTCGAAGCCCTAAACTCCCATTTGGGGCAAATCGGTTCTTATTCCCGACAATTTATTTTGTGCGCTTGGAGCGCAAGTAACAAACGATCCTAAATAAATGTTCCATACAGATATTTAGATGAATAGCGCTAGCGCTGTAACAATGCATGTAAAACTGTTGCTTCAATGCACGATTAGTTCAAGAATTGTGAATAATTTGCCAAGTTTTTTGTTTATTTTGGATTTGTTTTATTTACTTTGCTTCTTTTTCGCTCATTTGTAGCAAGTCACGAAAGGAAACCCCACATGAAACGAACGCAAACAATGCGCGAATAACGCCGAAAACGCCCCAGCCACGCCACAGACTGTCCAACAGTCATGGCAATCTGATGGACAACCGTTACTTGACCTCTGATGAATCAGAGGTGTCCAAAGTGAAGGTGAAAAGAACGAAATCCTTCTGGAAATTTGGCAAGAACAGTTCCGACTCGGAGATTCTCGAGGGCATGGCTCTATGGCGACATAGAGATCTCGTGGACTTGAACGATGAGAACAACAAAAAGAAAATCAACAGTCAGGAGAGGGTGAGAAGACCGAGCAGGGACCAATCGAACGACTCCGATAAGACCATCAACAATAACGACCAAAACAACACGGTGGTGGAAAGACCTCGAAAAGAGATCAACAAGGTGCGGGAGAGCTTTAAAGACAAACCAAAGCTCAGTTTACCCAGCAGAAGGGAAGAAGAAGACAAGCCTGAAGATGAATTCGAGGATATCTATGGGGAAACCGGCAAATCCAAGTACATCGACCAATTCTTGGATGATGATGGCGATGGGCTGATGCTGAAAACGGTGAACAGAAGAAATATTTTGAAGCAATACAGTGACGATCTAACAGCCGAAGACTCGGACTCGGCCTCGGAAATGACCAGCGACGATCCATATGACTGTATTGTGGTTGATGACCAGAAAGTGAAAAGGCGAGACGGGCAATTCCCGAACGTAGCCGAAATCGGGAAGAAACTTGAAAAACTGTCGAAAACCAGCAAATATTCGCCGAATAAATCGAACAACAGTAGCGAAAGCCAATTGAATAACGCGAACCAAATCAGGAACAGCATTAGGGAGAAGAACGAAGTGAATATTCGACGAAATAAGTCCAGGGAAAAGGACCCAAGAGAATACCATCCGGAGCAAAGAAGTTCGTTCAAGACGTTCGGCATCGACAATGATAACAGCAGTGAAAAGGAGCGATTTGATGACCAGTACTACATCCAGGAGAGAAGCAGCAGAGTGATCAGCAAAGAAGTGGAGGAAAGGGATACGAACCGGAACCGAAAAGCGCCACCGGCAAGCGAAAGACGCAGCAAGCCGAGCTACGAAAGCATCAACTCAGAAATGAACAATCGCAACCAAACAATGGACCCAAGAGGAAAAGAGCCTAAAGTAAATGGCAGTAGAAAAGAGGCTCGAAACAAATATTATGACTCGACCAACGACGAATTATCCGATGTAGGCGAAAATCGGCAATTTCTGCCGCGAACAAAACTATCGAAAACGAACAGCGGAAACTCAAAATATGACGAAAACATCAGCCTGATGGAGTACGGGGAAACGTTGCAAAAACGGCTCAAAAACCCGGAATTTACCTCAAAGTACGACGACAAATCGGGCCAGAATGGCAACATGTACGGTCCATGGTACGACCTCTGGGGCCTGGATGCTTCAACGCGCAAGTAGTTTGCCATGTGATTAGTGAAGCGTAGATTTTTTGTGTGCATGTTGGAATTGGTTTCCGTTCTAATCAAAGCTCTGATTATTTTCAGCATTTCAACCACAACAACCACGTGTAATTCGAATTTTGCAACGATAAAAGCTCGAAAACCCAGCGCTAGTGCTGATCGGAGTAGCTCACTTATTTTAGAATAAATGTTTTTGAAACACCCTGTATTAAAGTATTTTAAGCTCCCCTTTCAAATTGATCAAGGTTCATTAGTGATATTCCAAAATGCACCGGAAATACTGTAAAACTCCCTAATTTATCACTTGTATATATTATTACCATTTAATATTGCTTTCTGTATTGTTAGCCATTTTTTAACTTTATTTCTAACGTTTCCTGTAAATATTTTTACCTTTTTGGTGGTTGGGAATAGGTGCAATAATTATAATAATTAGCCCATATTTAAGGAATATCTCATTCCGTATTTGTACTTTAGTTAAGTTGCTATACAGGGCGTTTTACGAAAATGGGTGGCTATCCGAATGCATAGGAAAGTCCTAATTCGAATAGAAGCTCACTTTCGTGCACCATTCAGTCTATTGCGAGGCGAGAAATGGGCTTTGTTTATATAAGAATCTACAATGAAAATCGAAAAGTTGCTTTCTAGCTACAGGGTGTAGCAGCCAGCAACTTGGAACTCTTCGTATATTTGTTTAAGAGTGTCGCTCTTCATGTTCATATTTCGAAATTGTTTCATATCCAGTCGTAAGTAAAATTCCTTGACCTCTATGTTAGTCATACACAAGGACTTTTAAGAGGAACTGTGATATATAGAAATGTTTAGCATATATTTTCTAAATTAAAGCACTCCAGTAAACATTTCGTATGGTTATAAACCCGATTTTTAGTTCTTAGATATTGTTGAATTATGTTTTTCGGCGAATTTAATATGCTAAAATTCGTTTAAATTTTTGTATTGACTGTTCCGGCAAGAAATTCATAGATTACCATTATTTTGTATAAGTAGTGTACATTCTGTAGTTAAAATTTATGCTCAAACTTACTAACCTTAGAAACCAGTCTATTTACAGGGTGTTCTTCCATTTTAGCCTAATGATCGTTGGCGTTCCACGCTTTTCAAAGTTTAATTTTTCGAATTACAGCACAACTTTACTAAATGTGTGTCTTGGAAACACCCTGTTTTAGGTCATTTTTACTATATAATATGCCACTAACTTTAAATAGCTGCACCATATCTCTTACTCAAATTACTTTCACTTATTATAGATAGAAATAACGAAAAGTTACTGATGTTTAAAGTGTAGATTGGACATCGAAAGAAGTATCTTCGATTGCCTTTGGATATATAATATGTATGTCTATACCGTCCATATGGGTAGATGTGCGTACCATAATATAGGAAGTTGAATTGTAAGAATATAATTTTGTAACAAAACTACCGAATGCCCCACGGTGTAGCGCCGAAGCCATTGTGGTCTATTTGTTTATGTATATCTAAATGGTACTCAGAGGGTGGAACCACGTATCCGAATGTTACCACTCCATGTGCTAAACAATTGTTTTGTATAGGTGTATTTGATACAGTTATTGTTATATAATTGATGTATATCATTTTATAATATTGAATAAACATTTTGTTGTTTACCGTCTTGTATTTATTTGTGTCCGTTCTTGATGTAAGTGTAAGAATAAGGGGAGAATTATTTATCGCTGCTTTCACTCCCTGGGAGAATGCAATTCTGTTGTTGCCAATGCAAAAGAAAGTCGAGGAATAATTCATTGCCCACTATTGGTAGAATCTGAACAAACATGCCCTGAGGGGTTGACAAAGAAAATCAATTATATCTCGTAAACATTGCCATCAAAAGGGGGGAGATAAGCGAGTCGCAAGAAGAGCTACATTTGAAAAAAGTATCAAAATCAGGCGGAATTTTACAGCAGTCGAAGCAGCAAACTTCGATAATTCCTTGAAGGTGTTTTGGTCATTTTCTTGGAAAGTTTCACCTGAGTGAAGCTGGATTTATTGACTACACTGAGAAAAGGTTCAGCCTAATCTTGCATTTTGCTCCAAGTTGATTGAAGCTTATTTCAATGACTGCACTGAGAAAAAGTTTTAACCAAGGAGTAACAAGTTTAGAATTGGATTGTTTTCAGTGGACTTACGATAAAACGAGGAAAACACCAAAGAGTAGGCAGAAATTGAGAAATTGTGATTTTTTCTTATGCAATTGAATAATTGGACATTTGGGCTAAAAAGAAAAATGAGAACACCCTGAAAATCCCGTACACCATCACAGCTGCAAAAGACTTATTCTTGAAAGCAGTTCACGTTGCGCTTCAGAGAAACGTGATGCCATTGTCTTGTATAGAGCTTGGAATGGTGTAAAAATGTACAGTTCTAGAGCTTTCAAACTCCTTATTATTATTCTGCTGTGGCGACTGCAGATTGTACCTACTCTCACAACTAAGTCGATTCCGGCTTGAAATTTGTCTCCTTTAAGGTTGGTTTTTGTTTGAAACTTTCCTGGCTTCATCAGAGGCAAACCGCCCGGCAAACAAATCTCGTTTCATCTCCACACCCCATTCGGCTCAACCCCGAGGTGCGGATTTACACACTTTTTCATCATTCACCATTAGGCATGACTGGAAGGGTGCATTGTTTCAGTTGCTATTGCAAATTAGCCGCCAATAGTGAAAAGAATTTCCAATAGGACGCATAGTTCCAGAGAGCGTACACTCGAAATAATCTTTGAGAAGTCATTAGCAATTCAAATCCAAAAACTTTCCGGGGGAGTTTGTGTAGCGGCATGTTGATCGAATATTCCCTATCAGTTTGCGAAAGTTTTGTTTATTAAATTAATCCGGGAAATTGTTACATGCCTCGGCAGGTGCAGGAAAGCAGAGTCTAAGCTGTAACTCGCTATTCAGACATGAATTGTCTTAACATCACTTTCTTCAACCCTTACGGCTGCTTAATTCGTTTCTTTCAACGTACTTTGAGTTCAATTTGCTGATGTTTTTTCGGGATCATCAAATCACTACGTAAACGTAAGTAAAGTACCTACCTGCAGACATCTATAACCATGAACTCGCTCCGAAACAGTTCCACTTGCGACCCCTCTGCTTCATATTCCGAATTTAGGCTGAATCGATTTAGTGTGGGGTGGATTTGGTTCAAATCAATATCATATTTAAAAAATGCGGATTCTTGTACAGAGCAAACAGTTGCCACCCCAAAGAAAATCGATGTGGCATAAATTCGGAATACGAAGCAGAGGGGTCGCAAGTGGAAATGTTTTGGAGCGGTTTCATAAACGGATGGGGTGATTCGTCAGTGTCCACCCGATCCAAACCTGTTTATACACGATTATGTAGACATTTGCGAGTTCAACCACCGATGGTGGCGCTGCGAAACGTCAAATTACCCGTTGTCTAGTGACAGTTGAGACCTGTCAGACTGGTTTATTCATGACATTTATTTTTTTAAGTTAGTTCTTAACTAAAAAATAGTTAATAAAATTAATATCTGAGAGGGGGAGTTCTGTCACAAAAAAGCGCCTCCCAGATATTAACTTCTTATTTGAAACATTTTTTCCTCGGATCACTCGTTTCCGAAATATTTATAATAATAATAATAATACCAGTTTGGTCCCCTTTTATCTCAACACCCGTAGGTGGTCAATTAGGATTATATACTTGGCCAGGGTAAAACATAAAAATGAAGAAGATTTTGTTATGAAGTCGCAAGTTCGATTGGTATTTAGTGAGATTATTCGAATTAAATAGATTTACGAACCTATCAAAAATCCGCAGAATCAATAAGAAAAGTTACTACTCTAGAAATTCAAACTGTAAAATAAGGGGGAAAATGTGGATATTTAAGCGAATTGGATACGAAAATATTGGATAAAAATGCACTTGAAGTGTATACGTGCAATATGATGAGGAACATTTACAGGTGTGAAAGTACAAATCTAACTGATTTTAATGTTACTATTATAAAATTTTCTGCATTCAATAAAATAGAATCCCTAAAAGTTAACCTGTTTTTCTGAGTTGGTAAATGGATAATGGTGTGTGGCACTCATTTCATAAAGTTTCAAAATATCTGGGCAGACGTTGCTGTATGTGATAATTACAATTAGGGTAGATCTTACAAAGACGGTAGATCTTACTGCACGTATACACTTCAAGTGCATTTTTATTCGTTTTCGTATCCAATTCGCTTAAATATCCAAATTTTCCCCCTTATTTAACAGTTTTCTGGAGACCGGTAAATTATTCGAGAGTTCAACTACCCATGGTGAAGCTGCGGAACGTCAAATTACTCGTTGTCGAGTGACAGTTGGGACTTGTCAAACTTGTTAATTTTTTTGGAGTTAAAGACACTTATAACATGAAACAATACATACACACTTTTCCATTTGTTGCTATTTCTTTAAAAGCTAGCAAAAGTTGATTAGAGCAAATCAAAACAAATCACGATCAGATGTAAACACCAATGTCAACAAAACAAGTGTCAAATTACTATTTAACTTGTAGTTATAATTTTAGCCACCAGGGGGCCTCTGGACTTTTAAACTGGCGAATTCCTTTCCGCACACTAGAGACTCGCTCTTTCCTTATCTAAGGCCGTTTCTGTTTAAATGCACTGACATATGTCATTTAAACGCCCGCACCCTTTGGGGCTTTGATTATTAACTCGTTCTTCTAGAAACACTGCACAAAGTCGTTTGCGATTCTTTATTTGGTCGAAAAACCACACAGGATTGAATTAAAATTCAATTGATGTCACGCCACTGGATCGGCTCAGACTAACTAGACCAATAATTAACAGAGCTTTAGATCAAACATGAATAAATAATGGACTGTTGTTCGGTGATGTAGAACAGCAATCGCTTCTGTAAATGTCATCTCCTTTCCGCACGCCGAAATGCGTCTTGACGCCCTTGAGCTGCAACTATTACTTTGAGCTCGATAACACGCAAACAATTTTTTTCATTACTTTTTTTTTTGTGGTAAAACTGAGGCGGGAATTTACTGAATTACTATGAATATTTATTGGAAAACAATCAAAATCAATATTTTTAATTAAATTTCCTTGTGCGGTCACCTACTAGAATCATAATAACGGAATAACGGAAGACTTGGGAACGTTCTCCATTAAAAACAATTGCTTTGGTATGGGTAAAAAAAATTGACAAAAGTTACGCCACTGATTTTTATAGGTAAACAACTACTTAAATCTGACATAATGTTAATTGCCCGCAAAAACAATTCATGCAGTAGGAATTAGAATATTTAAAAACTGGAGCATATTAATGCCCACCAACCTTGGCATTTATCATATTTGTATCAATTCAACTTCAAGAAATCACACACAGTCAATGGGCCGATTTTTAGGCCTATCAAACATTTAGTTCAAATGCTTGATTAAAAACGACTTGGGACAGAAAATTTTGCATTTAGCGCGTGACTGATGCCCCAGTAACTGACAAAAAACCAATATTTGAAAAAGAAACCTTGCTCTCACATTGAGATTTTTCAAAATCTGCCAAGATGGCGCCAAACTAGTATCTTCCATCTCCAATCGAACAATAACTTTTATTATTCACTTTCTCATCGAAAATTTTCTGCATTTCGCCAATATTGTCCAGACGTAGAAAGTTCTCTAAACATTTTATAAAAAGTGTAGTTTTTTTACTCTAATTTAGCAAACAATTGGGATAAAATTGATTTAAGTTCGAGGAGAAATTTTTGCATCCCCAAGGAAGCTAATGCAATTGCAATTAAAACTTGATAGACTTCGCGCCGTTTAATATCTTGGAAGTTCGAAAAGTGCTGAGAACTGATTAATAAAGCCTAGCGGGCCGAAAAATTAATGAAAATATCCCCGACTTTGAGCCCCCGGATGGAGCAATTATTAGACTTGTACCCAATACCGATATCAAACCCTTTGCATAATAATTATCGGAAATTGTTTAATTTAGAACGTTTCCCCATCGGGAATTACCAAAAAAAGGTATTTTTGCTTCAATCAGACCGCAACTCTCTTCAAAGGCCACTTAATTGAACAATCTCATCAGCCTTGCAAACAGTAAGTTGAAGAGAATTATTTACAGTGAAACTGAGACATGGACAGTTATTGAGGTCTAAAACGCCCACAAAAAGTTTATAATTGGATGGTTTAAGGCACTTACCGAATAACCACAATTATGAACAATTAAATTTACTGGCGGCGACTGGCCTTGCCTGAAACTCTCATAATGTGGATGAAATTGCGAATCTGTCGATTTGGGGAATTTGTCTTTTTGCTTTCAGTACAGTGTGGACCAACTGAAAAAACCATCATAAATCAGACGTAAAAAATCAAGACCGCATGTGTTAATGGTTCAAGACCGACAATGAAGATAAACGAGCGATTACATATCGTCGACCAATGTTGCCGTAACTTGTATCTGAAATTTTCATCTTTAAAGGCGCTTCAAATTTTAAATCCGCCCTATTTTGTTCACCTTCTAGGTCCATCTGCATGAGGATTCAGCCACAGCAAAGCCAACTGGCAAAAAAGCAGCAAATTGGCTACAATTTCCACAGAGTGGCAACACAGGCCCTTACACAACGCCTTTTATCTTATTCATTTATACCATAAATGTGGCCATTTTCGGCTAAATCTCATCTGCAATGAAAATCAGACATAAATTGTGTCATTCCCTTTGGGATTTTCGGAATTTTATTTCGGCTGGTCCTTGGCAAAATTTACATTGCAGAAACACTTTCACAGAATGGACATTGTGTATTGACGATTTATAATAGTCGCCTTTAGCATCAAATTCCTTTGTTTTCTGCTGTTATAATTGTGCAGAAGAATGGAGTGAAGGCCATGATGGCCATATGGTCATTCTCGAGCGTCGGTATTTGTTTATAAAATAATTATTTAAAAAAAAATGCTTCATTATTTAATTAGGGATAACTAAAAATAAAATAATTAAAAAAAACAAACCCTGGATTTCAGTTGCAATTTAAAGTTGCGCCAATGTTGTTCACACTATAAAAATATGAGAAGATTGGCAAATTATAAAATCGTAAAAAACTGGAACAGGAAACGTTTATTGTTAAACAAGAATACGCGTCCACGCTACTTATCAGAAGTTAATCTCGCACGGGCGGGGTCACTCATGTAAATTTGCCCAACATATTATTCGTTCATGTTGATTTTGGGTTTTTGTGCCTACACAGACTGAATTCGCGTGTCGCTAATCAGTGCCCACACTCACACTCTAACTTCGTTTCCCGTGACGTCTTAAATGCTTCTCATTTAATTTGCTGATCTCCAGATCAAGTGAATTTTCCTCATGCTCCTAAGCCGAAAAAACTTCAGTAATGTGAAAATAGCCACTAGACAAAAGACGCCAACCATACAAAAACTTGCCTTTTCCAAGACTAAAATGAGGCTGCCGACAGCGCAAAATTGAGAGAAACGCATACTGGCGATACATATTTTCCGAGGCTCCAAATTTGATATTTAAGATGGTAACTGGAAGGGATTAAATACCAAATTCATGATGTATAAAAGCGATTTTGGGGCACTTCGTTCGCATTTACTTTTTATCCATTTTCAAGTGCAAGTGCCGAAATGAAGGTAGGTGGAGTTTCCTTGTTTAATATTTACGATATCATTGAAGCATGCATAAATATCGATATTAATTAATACGGGCCCGGTTTCGATAATTGAAAATTCGTTTTTGTCGCGAGTAATTTTGTCTAAAAAGCGTATTTTGCAAAATTGAAATCGATTGAGAAACGTGAAAATCATAAGAGTTTGAAAGTCGAAAATATGGTTTTGCGAACCAAATTCTTTGAATTTTTACCTCGATTAGCTCATTATCAAAATAGAACATGAGCATATTTGCAAAGTGCATTCCCGACACATTCTCTATCTATAAGATTTTTTTCATTTGTATCAGTTTGGAAGGAAATGGGCTCTGAATATTGGCAAGCGAAAACTCTCAAACTTGCACATGCCTCCACTCTTTACCCTGGAACTCGGTCGGTTATCAAGATTTTTCAGAAATTCTAAAACTATTCAAAAGCTTGGCCATAAACCTGGCGCAAAAAGTTGCGAAAGTTAATTTTGGTCACCGTTTCAGCGCTAGGGGACTTAAAATTTTCAGACACCTCAAGCCCTGGTTGCTTCTGGAAACATGCTCTTTTGCTACAAGTTTCGCGGCGCACCAAGATTTCCTCAAAAAATTCGCCTCATAAAATCCGCAAGTCTGCACATGCGAGCAGCATAAATTCTATCAAGAGAAACTACAACCCGGGTTGCCATCTACGGGTTGCCATCTACTTCTACAAAGTGAAACGCTGTCCAGATCCAGACCGCCGAAAATTCCCAAAAATTCCGATTTTTTCTCAAAGATTATTTAGTGGCTGTAAGTCTGAATATAATATTGATCTGAATTACTTGCAGCCTCTTAGGGCGCTATCCCCTCAACCAACACAAAGCAATTAACAAGTTTCCCTACCTTAAGGCATTTTGGTCTGCACGCTGCGGTATTTTAGCATTTGAATGCAAAAAAAATATTTTTAGCAGAAAATCACTAGTCCTTGATTTTGAAGATTTAAGAAGGAAGCAAGTCTTTTTAAGCAGACTCAATTTGTAACGTTTAATTTAAAAACCTAAAAAAATAATTAAACATCTTCTATCTTGTCTGCATATGCTGCCTAATGGGAGAATGGTGGGATTTAGAGCATAGATAAGTGGTAGCAAGAGGCATTTCTGCAAAGAAACTTCGCCAATAACTAACTATTATTATCGTAACTCATAAGAAAAACACCATTGAGTGAGTAGTAGTACTTTAGATGACAAAATATGGCGTATTTCACAACAGATCGACTTTAATTTTACATTTCGAGTGTTTCAAATTTAAAGGATTAGATAACAACAGTCCAGTTTATAATACCTGGCAGGTCAATTTTTGAAAACTAAGTGAAAACTATTTTTAATTTGAAAAATCGCAGTCAAGAACATTTCAATTTAGGGTGAAATTCACAGAAGAAAAAACCTGAAAAAGACGCAAATTATCTGCCAAAACAATACAAAGTATCGTTCACAATAGAAAGTTAACGGTTTCATAAATGAAAAGATATTTCTGTAGAGAACCTCTGAATTTAAATTAATTTTCCAGAACGAAAATTCGAAGAATTTCAAAACTCAATCGAGAATCCAGAACGTGCCTCGTCGTTTCTTGTCGAATAAATTTGGCATGCAGCAATATGATAAAATACAAAAGTCAATAATATGGGAACTAAAAGTTCTACAACTACATGGCAACCAGGGGCAAAATAATGCCAAACTTACCGAAAGCTGCATCGTGCCATCTGGAACGAAAGAACAACATTCTTTAGTATTGCAGAAACTTAGTCAAATTATAAAAACTTAAACTTAATTATTTGAACTGACCAGAGGAAATACGGAGAAATAAAAATGCCATCAACTTCAGTTGCTTTTCGTAAAACTAAACTCAGTTCAAGCTAAAGGATTTTTAAATTGGAAACCATGTTTACCAGCTTTCTCCAAGCTGGCACCCCATCCTCCATTTCTAGCCCATCATTCCTCAAAAAACTCACACTGCACTTGCCCAAACAATAAACATCCACCACGAATTTGGCACTAATTCATCCTGTATATGCCGTGCTTCCCAAACTTCCACTTCCCATGCCAAAGTGAATATTTTGTCACCTTTTCGACAACAACTCAAGCGATATTGAGGCTTTTACCACCACAGTCTTTGAGTCTTTTCAGTTAGATTGTTGTCGGGGTTAGTTGTTGCCACAGTTAGATCCTCATTGAAGGCTCAGACGGACGGCAAAACTTGCTTTTTACACGAGTTCTCGATTTGATATTTAGCTCAATTTTTATGAAACTGAGTCTTAAAGTATTTGTTTATGAAACAGCCTTTTACCGAATGTTTCTAGAGCTTCAACGGCAGAAGGGCGCTTAACAGGAAGTTTTTCAAAAACCAACATACTGGGGTGGTCCAGTAGTAGTCGCAAGTAATCATTTTGTAACTAATTTGATTGTTATTAGACTTTCCTCACTCTGGGACTTCTGGTCGCTATCAGCTACGTGCAAGCTGGACTCGTTCCTGCCTCCACCACCCTCCTGAGACAGTCAACAACAATCGCACATCCATCAGCCATAAGTTACGCGCAACCCATCGCCTACTCCGTGGTGCCTTCAGTGTACTCTCAACCGCTTCTGCACAACGCTTACTATGCCAATCCTGTGTTTTCATCAGGTCCTCTTTTGGCCCAACAATCCATCTACGCCCAGTATCCCGGACTGGTGGCCCAAAGCCCTGTTCTGCAGTATCCATTTGGTCCACAGGGTCTAGTTCAAGTGGATCAAACTGGAGTCCCGCAGGTTGAAGGTGAGTTAGTCGGAATTTGATCTAAGTTGGGTTGAATTAAGGGTGGGAACACGGTTTAGGAGGTGCCCAAATTCCACCACAGCAGCAACCACAACCACAACCGCAGCCACCGCAAAGTGCCCCTCAAGCTCCTCCACAGCAATCTCCAATTTTAAGTGGTCCTTCGGCTGGAACCGCCGCTGATGACGACACTGTCTCCGTGGAAGCTGCTTAGATATAAGTTTGAGTATTAAACGAAATTGCTAAAACTCATTTGTTGCGTTTTTTTTTTCGGTTCTTTCAAACTACCGTTCTAGAGTTTGTGGGACCTGTCTAAAGAAAATCCCTATTATCCAGTTAACAACCCCATGGGGCCATTACACGACTCGATACCCCCGTACATTTCAGTATGCATATAAGCTCGAATAACACTCAGGTATTTCCTATAAGTATGCAAAGACGAGTAAATGGGAAACAATACCGGCATGAATAATTCATACAGCCACCATTTTTATGCATTATGTTCTACAGACAAGGGGTATATAACCGCTCCATATAGATCTACTCATATTAAGCGCGATATATGATATATGTCGATCTAAGTCGCCCCGAAAAGTTACACGAGAGCGACGATATTGCGTTTTTCTCTCATTCAATATACCAAGTTGACACCAAAGTGGTCCAAATAGAAGGACGGAAACCCTCAATCTGGTCGGGTTAGTTTCCGTTATTCCTAAAAGCTCTGTACATTTTACACAATTTTGGGAAATGGAAGCGACATATTCGTTTCCAGTGGCTAATTTACAAAAGCATTTGGTCTGTCTCGTCTTCTAGCAGTTTATATTTTACGAGCGCGCACCACAACAAAAGAAGCTAATAACATTTAAAACCCCGAAAAGAGCAAGTTTATTATCAAGGTAGGCGAGAGCCCGAAACAATTAGAAAAGGAAACGGGAAACAACAGGGAAATGTTTGTACAATTTGCAGTAAAAGGACGGAAGTGCTTTCAGACCGAGAATGGCTTAGCCTGGAATACTGAGCAAAGAATTTAGTTCCCGATTAGCTAAATTCTACATAACAAAATGGCGATGACGCATGTTAACATCTAACCATAGCAATTAGTTTGCAAAAACGTCTACTAAAGTTCAAAAGTCCAAATGCCCACTGGCGGCTAACTTATAACTACACTTTAACTAGCAAATTTTGATACTTGTCTCTGTAAGGCTTTAAACGAAGAGAAACATCTTGAAAAGTGTGTAAGTTTTGTTTTATGTTATAAACCCATCGGCAGTTGAACTCGCCAATACGTAAATGAGCCAGACAGCATATAAAGTATCTACACGCGGGAGAATTCGAGTAGGAACAGGAAAAGTCAACATTTCACTAAACAAATTCTAAAATCAAAGCAAACTAAAAAATAGTAATTCGAAGATGTGCTAATGTCAGGCACCTCCAGGATCGGTTTCGGGCCCATTAGCTATCATCAGCTGCAGTTGCTAAAACGCTTGTTCATCTGTTGCCTGTCTATGGAAAAAACACATTTAGAACCTTACAAGGCGAGAAACGGATGTCGGAAAATTAATTTTGACAAAACACCTTAAATTAGGGCAAACGGATTCACAGGATATTAGAAAAAGGTCTTCCTTCATCGCATGCTGAATACGGCATATCGATCGCAAGCCTGATTACCGAAAGAACGCGAAAGGCGAAAATTTGGAAACACCACCAAGCTTGCTGGGGCAATATTCAAAAATGTATCTGGAAAAACTCACTTGAATCGATGCATTGAAATTTGCTGGATATTCAAACTAAACCTACCTTTATGGCGTGCTGAATACTGCGTATCGATTTATTGTCTGCTAATCGAATAAGCGCATATAGAATCTTGGTAAACAACAAAACGAAAACAGCATCACACGCGGACAAGAATAAAAATTCAGTGTGAAAAAACCACTTGCATTAACGCAATAAAATTCCCATGATGCGCGTGCTGAAGATGCCAACTCGATCACTTGTCTAGTTATCGAAAAAACACATTTCGAACCTCGCAAGGCAAAATAGCAAAAACTGCATCAAACGCGACAATGTTCAAACAATTATTTTGAGAAAACCACTTAAATCAACACAACGAAATTCTCAGAAAATGCAAACAAAGTCTTCTTGTAACGCGCGCTGCGTAGGGCGACTCGATCTTTTGCCCCGTTCCCAAAAAAATATTTTTTGAAGCTTGTAATATAAAAAACCGAAAACAACATCAAAAATTAATATTGAAAGACCACTTGAGATAACAGAACAAAACTTACATAATATTCACACAAAGTCTCCCGTTGTCGCGTGCTAAATCGGCGAGATGATTTCTTGCCTCATTATAGAAAAAACGGTTTTTGAACGTTGTAACGTAGGCCGAAAACTGCATCAAACACGGCAAAGGTCGAAATAGCTATTTTGAAAAAACGACTTGAATCCACTCAACGAAGTTTACATGATATTCCCAAAATAAACATTTGTTTATCTCTCGGTAAAGAAGCCAAGTCGATTTCTTACCCCCTTACCGAAAAACCAAATTTTGAACCTTGCAAGGTAAAAAACATAAAACAGCACCAAACGCGGTAAAGTTTGGAAATCAATTTTGAAAAAAACACTTGAATCAACGCAAGAAAACTTACATGATATTGAAACAAAGACTCCTTTTATCGTGTGTTAAAGCGGCGAGAAGATTTCTTGCCTAATTATAAAAAAAACGGTTTTTGAACCTTAAAATGTGAAAAAAAACCGAAAACAGCAACAAACGGCGCAAAGTTCAAAAATTAATTTTGAAAAAACCACTCGAATCAACGCAAATTAAACTTAATTTGATAGATGATAGTGAAATAAAGGATCCCTCTATCGCGTGCTAAAGCGGCAAGAAGATTTCTTGCCTTATTATATAAAAAACGGTTTTTGAACCTTGTGGTATAAAGAGCCGGAAACTGCATCAATCACGGCAAAATTCAAAAATTAATGTTGAAAAAACCACTTGAAACCACATAAAACAGCACCAAACGTGGTAAATTTCAAAAAGGAATTTTGACAAAAACACTCGAATGAACCGAAGAAAACTTACATGATAGTGAAACAAAGTCTCCCTTAATCGCGTGCTAAAGCGGCGAAATGTATTCTTGCCTCCTTATAGAAAAAAAAACGCTTTTTGAACCTTGCAATATGAAAAAACCGAAAACAGCAACAAACGGCGCAAAGTTCAAAAACTAATTTTGAAAAAACCACTTCAATCCACTCAACGAAATTCACATCATATTCCAAAAAAAACATTTCTTTATCTCTCAGTAAAGACGGGAAGTCGATTTCTTACAAAGTAAAATTTTGGATTACAAGGCAAGATCAAGGATTTTGAACCTTGCAAGGTAAAAAACATAAAACAACACCAAAGGCGGTAAAATTTGAAAAGGAATTAAAAAAAAAACCACTTGAACCAACGCAAGAAAACTTATCTGATATTGAAACAAAGTCTGCCTCTATCGCGTGCTAAAGCGGCAAGAGGATTTCTTGCCTCATTATAGAAAAAACGATTTTTCAACCTTGTAGTATTTATAAAGAGCCGAAAACTGCATCAAACACGCAAAGTTCAAAAATTAATTTTGAAAAAACCGCTTGAAACCACTCAATGAAATTCACCTGATATTCGCACAAAAACATTTCTTTATCTGTCAGTAAGGATGGCTAGTCGATTTCTTACCTCGTCACCGAAACACAAGATTTTGAGACTTGCAAGGTAAAAAACCACCACCAAAGGCGGTAAAGTTCTAAACGGAATTTTGAAAAAACCACTTGAATGAATGCAAGTAAACTTAGATGATCGTGAAAGAAAATCTCACTTTATTGCCAGCCAAAGCGGCGAAAGGATTTATTGCCTCTTTACATAAAAAACAGTTTTTAAACCTTGTAATATAAAGAACCGAAAACTGCATCAAACACGGCAAAGTTCCAAAATTAATGTTGAAAAAACCACTTGAATGCACGCAAGAAAACTTACATGATATTCGAAAACAGCCCTTCTGAATCTCTCGCTAAAGATGGCGAGTCCATCTCTTACGCCGTTATCGAAAAAACATATTTTAAACCTTGCCATTGATTTTAATTCAATTGAGATTGAAAAATTGATTTTGAAAAAATTACCACCACCCTGAAATTCGCTAAAGAACAAAAAAATGGAAAACGCCATTAAAATGTTATTATGCGGTTCGCAACGGCATTATTTGCCCGAAATGTTTTGCTTAAATCGAAAGCGGCTTCTTGAAAACTTAGGAGTTGTATTCATAGCAGCTTTCCTGTATAAAGAGATTGAGGTGGAGCCGAATGAAAAAATAATACGTCTCCTTCAAGCTCGCGCCTTTATAAGATTTCAAAGCTAATTTTAATCCGAGAAATATCTTTTTAAAGGCAAAACGACGTCAGTCTAGTTAAGCCAATGATCTGCAGATGAAGCACCGGAAGTGGGTTCTTGGTAATTTCATCATCAGCAAATTATAGAAAGCGCTAATTGAATTGACAGAACTAATTAAGCGCAAATTAATGAATTGGATATTTATATAAAACATTTCATTTAAATTGCAGTGGAAAACCGCGCTCCGATTTAACATAACCCACCGTTCAAATGTGTCAATGTTTATTGTGATGATTAAAATTTATTTATAAATTGCTTTCAGTTTGTTTAATGTAGCATATTACGAGTGAGGTGCGCAAATACCACATGAAATTGCGATCCAATCTGTGAGGGAGATAATGTCTTTCAAAGAGAGTTTTTGAGGATGCCGGCCACTGAGGTGGGCGAAACCTCACTTAGTTTCTCCTAGTGCTTTGAATTTTGCACACTCGAAAGGCTGTTTACTCGCTGAAAACGTTACCAGTTCAATTTCGAGCTTGTTGGGTTAAGTAGGTAACACAATTCGCGGAACAAAGTCGGAAAATGTAAAGCAATAGTCTAAAAATAACCTTGTTTTACATTAAACGTTGTAAAAATCCTGTTTGTATCTCGGTAATTTTTCAGAAAATGAGAAAACGCCCCGGTTTTTACCCGCTCCGCTAGGTAATATATCCTTATATTCTCTCAAGGAAAATAAATGATATTTTAACTTAATTTTAGGATGTTTGGGGATGTGTGCGAGAAGAAAAATTTATTTGCCCATTTTTCCAGATTACCACGGGCTTTATTGCCGGATACAAACCGGGCGTTGTTAAAATTATACGGAGTTACTTTATCTTACTTTTAACAGGCTTTCCAAGTAATTCGCGAAATAGGAAACATCCTCGAAGTACCACTTGAAAGCCATCGAAACGCGATCGTTCTTATCTAACTGGCGCAGTTACATAGGGTGGGAAAATTGCACGGTGAAAGTACCGTCGAATCGCAATAAATAGCTATTGTTTAATCGCTTTACTGTTCGAGCCCATCTTCAGGGCAAAAAACACTACAAGCTCAACGAAGCATTTAAATAAGAAAGTGTGTAAACCGAGAACATCAGCCTAATAACCAAATTAGTTTGCCGGTATTACAGATGTAAATTACTCACTTAGGCGGAAACTGCGGTTGCGTAATCCAAGGCGAAAAATTCAATCAAGTGTGCTTTCAGACGATGGAAACCCACTCGATTTCAGGGTAGGCTCCATCGCGGAAAACAATAACAGTTTCCATCCGAGTTAGAAGTAAAGAACCGGGCCGAAACGAAATAAATGTAAAAACTGCTGGCTTGGCGTCGTCCGAGGCTTTCAACTTTTTGAAGCGTCAAGTTTATTGGGCTGGGAAAGTCGGGAAAACTTTCATCCTTTATCATTGTAGAACAATATGTTACCGCGACGTGTAATCGGTACGAGTAGAAATTGCCACCGACAAGCTAACACGTTTCTGTGCTTTTTTCCAACGATTATAAACCACTAGTTGATTTTGTTGATGAAACAGAACCATTTAGTGTCAGCAACTGTTTAAGTAAATGCAAGTGAGCAGGTGCATTGGTGGACAGGAAACTGATTCTGCTTCAGAAATAATTAAACGCATTTCAACAGTTAAAAGCTCCACGTGCATAACGCAGTCAATCGTGGAACTTTGAAAGTTTCCTATACAGTTCAATTCAAAAAGTTCGTATGGATATAAAGAGACCTTTATTGTGCGCAGCACCTTAAGGGGATAAGAGTAAAAACTTAGGGCTTTTGTTTCCCCTTATCTGGAAACAAGCGAGGACTGTAAAAGTTTAGAGCATTCTCCATCCAGACGTATCTGTGATCTCAGCGTTTTAAAGTTGCAAACTCGAAACTGGCTTATCGTCGGCATTATACTTTTAAATGTCCGCGAGGAGTTTTCAAGGTTTACTCGAGTTTCCGATCACATTTTCCGGGTTGCTCAATCACACCGAAGCCGACCATCAACAGTTTCTGGCAAAACGGTTTGCGATTAATCATCAGCTCCCAGTCAAAGAAGTTGGAAAACAAGCAAGCAAACGCTGTATTCCCAGGGACTTCCACGGTTTCAACAAGTAAACCGATTTTCCACGTTGTTTGCTTTCAGATATCAATAAAGCATCGATTCCCCTTGCCAAACAATGTCAAAATATTATGACATAGAAAATCACTTAGAATCGTAAATCGAGTGATTGCTCATGCCGCCCTCGAGGGCCATAAACTCGCCGTCCTCAAACGCTCCTTTTTGACCCTAAGTCAGCGCTATTGAGGTTTTTCTAATTTCCCCCGAGAGTACTAAGGAACGCTTATATTTTCTGAATATTCATGCGGCAAAAAGGAATCGGCGATTTGGGATTGTGACTACGCGAAAAAACACTAGACGGTGGCGAGAAGCCCTGATTTTTTTGCTAAAATTTATCGGTTTCACTTGGCTTTAATTTAGACAATTTTAAAAGCCCGATTGGCCCCCAAATCAATTGTACGGCGATTTCAATTACGGTGAAATAACAAAGCCGGGAACCGGATGTTAATATTCGTTTTGTATAAACTAAACTCGCAGTTTTTATGATACATTTCCAATTGATTGTCATTGCTGATTGTTTATCGTTGTTAGCCATAAAATGCCCAAATATTGATTTTACAAAATGTTGCTTCAGCATACTGAGTGTCCACTAAATAGTATATTATACAAGGGATGGAGGATTCAATGTGAAAGGTCTCAAAAACGATGGGCTATATCGACTTGGACCAAGTACACGTTTTTTGCTTAGGAAATATTGGACAACGAGATACTGGCGGAAAATAGCAATATTTTAGAACCCCGAAAGATCTGATGCTTTAAATCAGAGTCATGGTAAATTTTACTTGCACTTTGCCACCCTGTACCTCGGAAACTATTAACTTTCAGATAAGACAAATTCTCCTAAAACGCAAATTATTCTAAATAATTTATAATTACATGATCATTGTCTTAATTGCTTTTTGCTTTTAAATTTCCCACTAATTTTCTAAAGTGTCACAATATTTGACAGTCTGACGTTCGGTTTTCACACTGACAAACTGACAAATTGCCGCAACACTCGTGGGTTCAAAAGTCCAAACGCCCCCTGGTGGCTAAAATTATAACTGCAAGTTAAGCAGTAATTTGACACTTATTTTGTTGACATTGGTGTCACGTTGGTGTTTATCTGATTGTGATTTGTTGTGTTTTGTTCTAATCAACTTTTGCAAGCTTTTACAGAAATAGAAACCGATCGAAAAGTGTGTAAGCATTGTTTTATGTTATAAATGTCATGAACTGTCAACAATAAATAAACAGGGCTGACAAGTCTTAACTGTCACTCGACAACGAGTAATTTGACGCTTCGCAGCGCCACCATCCTCGCATTGAACTCGCGAATAATTTATCGGTTTCTAGAAAGTAGATAAAACTTCTATGGAAAACTTCCGGGAAAAGCGGAAAAATTTCTGACTTAAAGTGACATTGATTTGTAAGTGGAAATAGGTGGAATCCCACCTGAACTTAGAGAGGTGGACAAAAAAAATAAAAATTATGAAAAAATTCTGTCATTACGGAGAGAAACATGACTATTCAATAGAAAAATTGAGAAATAATGGCGACTTCTCAGGTAAGAAGTAAAAAACCGATATAAAAATACGCTAACTGGGAATATTTTAAAATAAGGACCAAACGCAAAGCGAAAGATCCAGCGGGAAGCAGTGAATATGGCTTCCTCTTACCTATTATGACCCTTACCTTTCTACAGGCCGATTTTTTCACCCGGGCCTATAATCATTAAACGAAAGTGGCGTTTGCAGAAGTAGGAGATCACGAGTCTATATAAAGTCTAACATTCAAACCGACATCCATGTGAAACTCAATTGCGCGCGTGTGGCCGTTTTTTATGCGATATTCTGCACTATTTCCCCCGGTTAGTGCCCGAAAAACAATTCGAATTTTTCAAAAAATTCCTTAAACCTTCCAGCTAATATCGGCTTGTCTTTTCCAGAAAAATGAGGAATTGTACCACGTTTCTACCGCTGCTGATGAGCCTGTTTTTCAATATCAAGTGTTCGCCCATTTCGCAACCCGGATACGAAAACCCCCAGTATGCGGCTGTACGGAACGTTCCCACCCTCACGTACAAACCGCAACAAATCCACTTTAAACCAGCAGGTAAAAATGCTTTTTTCCAATCTCTGGTTGCAATCCAGCTATTTAATGTCTTGTAATTTTTTGTATTTCAGCACAACCCACTAGAGCGCAGTTCGAAGGCAAAGCTGAGGGCCTTCAATACTACTCATCTCAGCAGCCTCAACAACCCCAACAACAAAAATCCTCTCAAGCGATTCAAGCTCCCGGTTATGGGCCTGTCAGACAAGTTTTTGTGCCAACGAATCAGGTAACTTCAGTTGAAAACTTTAAAATTAAGTTGGTTTTGAATGAAGGGCAGGTTGCGCTGTAGAAGCCATTTTTACCAAAAAAACATCATATACCGTAGAGCAAAAAGGCTGTTGCTTCGAAGCCATTAATTAATTTGCCTGTGTTAAATAGTGAAAGCCCATTGCAAAGCAGGTAAATGTTACTAAAAAACCTGGTGCTTTGCTTAGGGAATTGGCGCAATAAGTAAGCGCTTTTTACTCCAGCATAAATTGCATTGTTATTGCAATGAGTTGAGAAGATTTTGAATTAATTCACATCATCAAAAAATTGCCAACACAAAGGAAGATTCGCATTTAACGACCATTAGGAACATTGCAGGTTTTTACAGCACAGTGGATGTTGGCTGGTTGGGGTGAATATTCCCCCTAACTAGATCATTTTTTCCAAATCCTACAATTTTTCGTGCGCCTTGCCGTTGGCGACCCCAAACCAGTTTTCTAATGACCGTTGGAAGAAAGTGAAAACAAATGGAAATTTCACTTTTCAGCGGTGGGAACAATGAACTTGCATAAGCGGGAGTAAAATGATTAAAAATTGCTCTAAATATTCACGTGAATTCCAAGCATTTCCACTTATGGCAAAATTGAGCATTAAAAGCGCAAATATTAAGTAATAATCACCGGAATCAGTCGTCCGGTGGCAAATTCAATTAGAATGTGCATTCGACGATTCTCACACTGGCGATTTTCTCGATTTTCTCAAATAAACGTTTGGTTTATCATCGTCGAGTGAACCCTCGAACCGACAGCCAGTTTGGCCATTAAGAGGCCAATTAAGCAGGAAATTTACTCTTCGGCGATCGCACAAAATCAAGCACCCGAAACCTTTTAATCTCTTATCGTTTAATAACACAACTCTTCGAGTGATTCGCTGTTTTTTTTTAATCAGAATTGGGTCTCGGTTGTCTACCCGAGTCTGCGGTTTGAAAAAGGAAACAAAGTAATTTTGAGTGTTCAGACAATATTCTGCACAAACCAAGTACCCACACAGATAAGTTCATTGGTGGTACCTAAGCGAGAGTCAATAACATTCCTATAGTGCAATTAAAAATAATTGCTTACCGCCATACGGGCAATTCTAGTCCAACCAACCATTTAACGGACATTTAGATACTAGTGAAAGTACTTGAAATAAGATGAATATTGCAGACCGGCCGTTTCGGATAATGGTGACTGCTGGCTAATAGACTTTATGTACCGAGTGTTTGATATTAGTGTTTTCCTGAATGTCCATTCTAGATAGGAATGTTGCGAAATGTTCCCAAACTAAGAAGCAACCGGTTCTACGGGCTCTCAGCCACGTTCGGTTGCAATTATATTTACTCCAATTAAGTTAAAAGTAATAACGGCTAGTTGGTACGCACATTATGTCATTGGCATGTGAAAAGTAAATTTGTTGCGCATAATGCACCGGTAATTATTATTAATTCGTAATTTTATTGCGATCAGTCGACACTTTAACATTACGTAAATTACTTTGAAACTAGGCCGATGGATGGGCGATTTTTCATTTCGCATGGTAATATGGGAATAATCCCCTTGCACACTAACAATCAGCACATGAATTTATTAAAATACAAAATTGTATCTTGCAGGGTCCTCGACAAATTGATCCTAACTACTATGACCAAGTGGTCAAAGCACAACAGCAACAACAGCCAATAGTTCAAAGGTATGTATAGTCAGTAACGAATGGAAGAAATTTTTTGCGGATGTTTCGCTAGCACGAGTGAACTGCATCTTCCAAGTTTTGCCAATGTGAAACCTACCAGCTGTACGCAATAAAGCCTAGCTCTATGCTAGGTTCTACTGCATATAGACCCAGAGTATACTGATGAAAAAATGAAATAAAATTTCAAAATACGTTTTTTATTCGAATTAGTCAAAAACTGCCATAAGTTTGAAATTTGTAAATTACAACTCCAAGTTGCGTCTCAAAGTCCTATCAAAGGCCAATTTTTCCGCGTTTGCCGATGTTGCCACATGCAAAACACGATCTTTGAACAATCACAAAACTTCAAAAATTACCAGCGTCAAAATGTGACATTAAAAAATGACATTGACATAAAATTTGAAATTTGAAATCGCCTTTTATTTTTGATTATTCTTGTTCGTGTTAAGTCTTCATTCGAATGAAAAATAGTGTTCGATACGAGGACGAAAATCTGTTTTTCTTGATGGATTGACACCGTCGACCCTCGACTTCGTCTCGTGTAAAAAAACACTTTTTGGCTTTCTATCGAAAACCACTATTTAAATCCAGAAGACCGCAGCCACAAGCAACACAGCAACACAACAACTACCCCCAACAAGTGAAATACGTGCCTCAACCACAACAAGTGAAGTACGTTTCCCAGCCTCAATACAGTGCCAGATACCAACAGCCTCAACCACAAAAACCAACCAAACAAACGGAGGAGGAGGACGAGGAGCAAGACGGCGACTATGATGTAAGTGTGGCCTTGTTAAGGCAATCGTTTTCAATTATTACCTAGTAAGCAATCCAGAGATTGCGAGACCTACGAAGTGATTACCTGCAAATTGCGTGTGAACTTTGCACTTTCTTTTATAACTAAAGTGCCGAAGGTATCGGATTTTGCAACCGTGCGATTGGACAACAATTTTGCTAAATTGCGGAAAGCATGTAAATATTTTTTCTGAGTCTGGCAGTGTCGTGTCCAGAAGAAGATCCCAATAGAGGACTGGTCACGATCGAAATTTTTACAGCCTCGTAAATCGTGATAGGTTCGTCGTAAAAACCGCACAAAGATTATTGTTTTAGGCACTTTATGTCCAGGGATAAGACCGAAAGCAAAAACATGCCCATGCGTTGTCTAGAGGATCGAGAGAAAAAAACGAGTATTTTCCAATTCCCACTAAACTTAATTGCAATTTAGCCTGCAAACTATCGTGAATGGTTGCAACAGTATAAGAATACCACCCTCATTAAGAGCGTAAAACTAAATATGTTATTAAAGCGCGAAAACTCGCTTGAATATAAATCCATCAGCCATTTGACTATTAGAGCAAGTAGTGCAACTGAATCTGCGCTCTTTTGGGAAAGTTACGTGGTGAAACCACATCATACACTTGGGGACCGTGAAACTTTCCCAGTTTGCCTTCGAGTTTCCGTGCAACTTTTCCGAGTTTTGCTGAATTACTAATCTGTACTCCATTTATGGGCAACTTTGACTTATCGGACTAATATGGCGAAAATCACACAGTCGACCACATCATATGCATATTCCGGCATCGAATTTAGTCGGAATAGAACTTTGCCATTATTAATTCATGGCTGATTACTGATTTGTTTCAATGCATTCGAGTGAAACGCGTTTGATATTTAATATTCCGACATGTTTTGAAACTAGTTTCAACCAGCCTGACAATAAAGATATATGGAACATGACTAGATTTATGCGACACTTAATTCGGGACTTTTCATCTAACGGACGTGCAGCAGACGTCTAGATTAAACACATCAAATAATATAATATAGACTTTCTGTTAAAATTACTAGATTGATAAAATATGTTGTCTGTAAACTGTCGATATAGATCACTTTCACATGTTATGTAACTGGTGTTGGGGGCGAAACCCAAGTGAGAACAACAAACATCCGGAGATTGTAAATGGCGTTAAATATTTTTGCAACAACCTTCTATTGGTTACTTGCCCGTGTGTCGGCTTTTGCAATTTAATTACTATTAAGAGGGAAATATTGACTTATTGTTCTAATGCGAACTTGATTATTGCTTTGGATCTACGAAGCGAGCTTGCAATTGCAAAACATCGCTCAATGTCTGTTTTTAATCGTTATGTAGAAATCAAATGCCAATAGCTGGAGAAAGGAACTGAAATTTCCCGAGCCGGATCTGCGTAAATCCAGCCAGAAAAACGAACTATTGGATCTGCAGGTCAATACCGGTTCTGGCATCGGGAATATTAATTAACAAATTAGTAGTTTTTGTGTGGGTTCGAGAATTCCCAGTTAAAGCGATAAATATGTCCGCTTTCGAATGGTAAATTTTAATTAAAACTTCACTTGAAGATGAAAAATCGCGAATGTAAAGCGCGGGTAGACCACATTCTATTGGTCTAATCAGTTTCGATTTTATTTGAAAAGCTCTCTCTTTGAGTAACTAAGCATTTATTTCTTGCAGCCCAACCCTTCCTACCAATTCGGCTTCGACGTACAAGATGATCAGTTCACCAACTACCAAACTCGCAAGGAAGAAAGGGACGGAAAGCGGATAACCGGCAGCTATTCAGTGGTAGATGCTGACGGATATATCAGGACTGTTAAATACACGGCGGACCCAAAGGAAGGATTTAAGGCAGAGGTGATTTTTGTCCGAATTTTACTTACGGTCGGGCTGCTTTCAAATTCCCGCGAATCCATGCTGGTGCGCCCTAATGCCTGAAAAATAAGAAAAAATCCCCATTTATTAACCTTAACAAATTGTAGGATCAAAATCGATAGTGTATAAAAGCCAAACGGATACGAAAAGTGAAAAATGCTCTACTTGTTAATGCCTCCCTGATTTACGATAATGCGGATAATATTCGCTTTATTCGCAAGCAAATTGATTCAAACGGATTACAGAAAAATTCGTACCGGATCCAATTCGGCAAGGGGATTATCTCAGTTCTATGCAGTTAATAGACTTCGTTCGTTCTGAGCGAACGAATGTATGGATGGGAAACTTGATCGCTCAGAGCTTGAAAAATTGTTACTTATTATACAATTTCAAAGGTTTAAGGGAGCGGTCGTTTTTATTTCGAATGTCGCGAACCTCCGTGATTAACAGTCTGAATTTCAGGTAAGCCGGGAACCTACAGACATAAAAATCAAGATTCCCAAGCCCCTTCCGCAGTACCAAAACTTACCCAGGCAACATCCGCAGCCGCAACAACAGCAACAGCAGCCTGCCAGGACGCATCAACCCCAATATATCCAGGTTAGAACCAGAATCAATCAAGCGTTCAACTTTTTTTTTTAAACTAAGTTACATAGTTGAAAGTTGGTTGATTTTTTTGGAAATTCGGTCTGGGTGGTGAAGAAGAAAAAAACCTTTGCTACCGAGCTTTCGGCAATTTATCGTCGCCTTCCTCAGGGCTGGACAAGTTATTGGATACATTTCGAAAAAAAAGGGGAATAAAACTTTAAAACAACAAATTACAGTTACAAATTACTATTCGATGTGCAGGGACTTCAGCTCATCATTAATTTGCATTTAGTGTAGTCTGTCCCGTTATCTCTGCAGAAAACATGTTCGTGCATAAATGTTTTTAATCCATGACAAATTATGACCAAATAATGTGACTCCATTGAACAACTGTGACAATGGATTCGCCCTCGTAATAAATTAAATGCCTGGGTAACACTGTGTTGAGTTGCGCGTTTGAGTTGTTGCCGCTCTCTGAGTTAGTGAGTTTTAACTCACTAGTTAATGAGGCCATAACTCATGGCCGATGACGGAATTTTAACATCTGACAAAAAAACCATCAACATATTGCTTTTGCGCATACGATTGCTTGAAACTATTTGGTTTAAAACGGGAAAATCCGGAAATTTTGATGAAACTTAAAACATTTTCAGAGCGATGAGAGTGAGGAGTTTTCCAAATATTGATTATATATATGCTTTTGCTTTCTCTGGTCGTTTTTCGAGAAAACCCAAATTGTGTCGAAAGAAAACAAGATAACTTTGTTCCGATTTTTTTGAATAAAATACGCTCAGATTGCCAGTATTTTACAGTAAAACGTTAGGAAAAAACGCGTTGTTCTGTTTTGAGAGAGTTTGGTTTAGAAATATTGACCTAAAAGTAAAGAAACCGGAATTTAAATAAACCGAATTATTCACAGCGACAAAAGTGGCGAGTTTTCCCAAAAATGGATTATAAACTTGTTTGACTTGTATAACTTGTTCTGTTCGCGAAAATTTTGGGAAAAAAATCACAAAAAAGTATTAGGGTTTTGTCCAAAATTCGAAGCTGCAAAAGGTTCTAAAAAACAAGCTGTTCAGAAGCCGAGTGTTCGAAAAAAATGTATTTTATTATTTTCACAGAAAATTCCTAAAGATTGTCGGTACCTATTTTCAGTAAAATAATATGGTTTTTTGCGTTGAAAGAATTGCTTAATAGAAACTTTGCTAAAACTGGAATGAAATTTAAAAAAAACTTGAAAACTCTTCAGACCGGTGAGAATGGTGAATTTTCCAAATACTTTTTGGAAACTTTTGCTCTGGCCGTTTTTTTCGAGATAATATTATTTACTTTCGATAAAAAACCGAATAAAATTATTTCACGAGTTTTCCAATTAATTTGTTATAAACCTGATTCTGCTCGTTTTTTGATAGAAAATTATTTTATTCTTGTCACAAATTCGATGCTGGAAAGGGATTTCAAAACTTTTACTTTATAATTTTAATTAATTTTATTTCATAATTTTTCGCGAAAAATACCTTAAGATTCATATTAGTATTTTTAAGTGAAACTTTGGAAAATTGAGCATTAAAAAAAAAGAGTTTTCTAAAACTGGAAAATTCTGAAATTTTGCAGAAATCTTAAAATATTGTTGATAAATGGCCCTTACAATAAATCTAAAAACAATTAAGAAAAGTCATCAACACTTTCTCAGCAACGGAACTGAGTTACTGCGCCGGTGCGTTGGGTTGGCGCACTAAGTCATTTGCGTAGTACTGAGCCAACTCCTAAAAATTCATGGAGTTACCCAGGCCTAAAATGAAAGCGAGGAAGAGAGAATATTTCATCAGGCTGTAACATTGATAGAATATTCTGAAAGGTTTCCCAGCCTTCTTATGTCGAACAATTAGCAGCAAGTACTTTGTATTTGTTGTTTTTAAGTTTTATACCCCTTTTCATTTTTTTATTTATACAATAACCCTTCCAGCCCTGAGGAAGGCGACCATAAATTGCCGAAAGCTAAGTAGCTAAAAAAGTTTTTCTTTTTCTTCTTCACCACTGCCCAGACCGAATTCCGAATTGAAAGTCAACCTTCTTTCAATTATCCGACGTCGGTCAAAAAACTGGGACTTAAGTTAAATAGAGTTAACTAAAAATAAAAAAAAACCGCTTTTCTAGGTGGGATCACAAAGAGTCGCCCAAAGGCAAGAAGATGAAAACGCAGTCTACCAATACTAGCAAGTTCCATGCGTACCGCACTTTTAGCAGCAAGTTTTTAATGGAAACTATTTATTTTAAGCTTAGTTTAAGTTGTTTTTGTTAAATTATATTGACTTGTGATGTTTATATTTTTATATTGTTTGCAGACGTTGATTAAAGTCGAATTAAAACAGCTTGGGGGTGTATTTCATTAGAGTAAACCGTTGAAAAGCGTTCAAAGAAAATATGGATGCATGCCAAATAGTAATATTTGAATTAAATGTTCGGATTGTTAACAAAAAGCGATTCAATTGATATCAGATATTCCCACAAAATCCAATATTAATTTTGCAGAAAAAACGATTGTTTGATCGCGGAAATATCGGCAAATAACAATATCAAATTACATTTCAGCGAATTCACGTGCCTATAAACCACTATTTTAATTCAAAGGTTTCAACGTTCTTATTTTGCCATTAAATCTGGCAAAAACGCACTTTTCCTGTTCAATGCAATTAAATTTTCATAACTTTCCACCAATCGAAACACAATTGTTTGTTTCTTTTTAACTCTCTGGCTTCAACTCGGAAAGAAAACAAACGCTGACAAGCGAGGAACGATTTTATCTCTAACTGAAATTATATTTCAAACTTTTAAATTAAAATACCCGGTTTTTAATGGAATTTTTACTGCATTTAATATATTTTACGTTTCGGTTCCGTTTTAATTTGTTTGAGGGAGTTACATGGAAAAAATTGTTTCAGCAAGGAATTTGGATGTTTTGCGTGCCGAATTGCCGATGGAAATTAAATTCTATTACTCTATTTTATCAGTGAAACGTTTTGAAAGGCCGGCAAAAATCTGAGAGGTTCCGTGAGTTAACAAATGCTAAATAAAGTATTGGCTTGGAGGAGATCTTTTCCATATGCACTGGTATAACTGGCAGATTAACTAAACGGGCCTTAAAGCAAGTTAATGCCTGGAAAACGGCGGCTTTTCTCCAGATTTGATTAGAAAGTCGAAAATTTGCATCGCACGGTTTCCAGTTGGATTTTGAGCCGGAGAATTAGGAGAATTTAAATTCGGAATTGAGGCTCGGCTGCGTTAAAACGCGTTGTAGGCGATTTTGGGGGACTACAAGATGAACTTTCCCTCAAACTGAGTCTTATATAAGATTAAAATTTGTTTGAATATACTGTAGCTAAATTTCAAAGGAATAATGACCAACTCTCTGAGTTAGTCTGAATACCTTTAGGAATGTTTACTTCGAAGGAAAGAAAAAATTGCAAATATTCGCCGTTAGTCTGACCAGTCTAGTTGGTATTCTGATAATGTTAAGTCGATCTCGACAACATACAATTCTAGTAAATCCCTATAGAAATTTTGCAGTTTTTCCAACATGAATTTTCACATAATATGGCTTTGTGTCCTGATGCGAAGCTGCTTCACTGCAGCAGATGCCACCGACTTTGCAGAGAGTAGCAACCAGGTTTTAACATGTATGACACTTCGGTACACTACAGCTAAGTACAGGAAATATTGTGTTTCCGACCACCGGCATGCAGACGTGGAGTATCCAGATTTACAGTTATCCATTCCTCAATCCGAAGATTGCCAAAACAGAGTTTTTCATCTAAGAACGATTCTAGGTATGTTAGGCATTCCATTCTGTTAACAAGTTATTGCTTGCTTCCTTCAAACCAGGCAACCAATACTACATTAGTTGGTTAGCGGGTGTTCCAGAGAAAAGCTGGATCGACGCCAGGAATTTCTGCAGAGAAATGTGCATGGAATTAATAGCATTAGAATCTGTGGCAGAAAATGCGTGGCTGAAGCGATTAATGAGCGAAATGCAGGTGTGCGTGTGTATCTTGGAAATCAGCTTCAAAATCAACAACAAAGTGATTGCAGATTAAAGAAGTGTGGACCGCGGGGCGATTCTGCGACTTTAAGGGCTGCGAGTTCACAAAAACTCCGCAAGTCTGGCCCAGACAAGTAAGGGGATGGTTCTGGGCGGGTACCCATACAAGACTAGGTCCATTTGTCGACACAATCACAACAGATTGGGCGCATGAACCAGGGAAATTTCGCCAACCAGATGGCAAGTAAGTCGTTCTTTCATCAATTTTACATTCGAACGGTTCCAAGTTTGGAAATTTGTCGGTTGTTTCTTGTGCAAAAATAGTCGTTTTCGACGCCAGGGCGAAAAGTGTCGTTTTTCGAGCGACGACCGCGTTTAACTGGGGAAAGCTTTCAAAGCTCGAAAAACTCTGCACAGTTTGAAAAACGGATTTTTGCCCTCGAATCAAACAAATTGTTTTTATTCGAATGAAAAACACAATAAGTAAAAATTGACGAAAATAGAAGGCATGGACTTGCACGCTTATAATTTTTCAGACGCGTACTTTTCGAAGCAAATTTTCAGACGAAAAACCTCCAGAGTTTTTAACCTCAAGTGTTCTTGCTTCGGTTTCGAAGATGTGCATTTTTGAAAAAAATAACGTAGTTGAGCAAGAGCTTCTGCTTTAAGCCCGATTTTTACTAGACCGGCAAAAAACAGGATTCGAGGGAATTTTAATGAAATTTTCCCAAGGCTTAGAAGTAGCCAAGCCCTACTGAGGAGTGTGAAAATTTGAAGTTGCTAGTTGCTTTCACTTCGAGGATAGGAATTTATAAAAGCGAGAGCTCCGCTGAATAAGAGCTTCTGTTTTAAGACCAATGTTTACAGCGCAAGAAAAAAATAGGATACCAGGCGATTTTATTGAAACTTTACAGGAGTTTATAGTCGATTATCGTCTAAATGCGCTCACAATTTCCTATTGTTACTTACTGCGGTTTGAAAGATCTGAACTTTTTAAGGAGAGAGCGCAGTTCGGAAAGAGCTTCTACTTTAAGACCGGTACTTATGAGGCCGGAAGAAATTAGGAATCAAGGCAATGTTAACAAAATTTTGAGCGCTAATGATTGTCGAAAGATATTGAAAATTTCAAATCGCTACTCGGTTCCGTTTGGAAGATGCGAATTTTCAGAACGAAGAATCCAGTTGGGTAAAACTTTCGATTTTAAGACCAAAGTTAACTAGACCGGCAAAAATTCAAATTCAAAGCCATTTGAATGAAACTTTCAGAGTTTTTAAAGTGAAGTGTGGTCAGACGATTCCGAAAATTTCCAGTTGCTACTTGCCTCGATTTCAAAAATGTGAATTTTTAAAAGCGGGAATGCAGTTGGGTAAGAGCAACTGCTTTAAGCTCGATTTCTATGAGGCCTGTAGTAATTGGAAATAAAAGCGATGCTAATGCAATTTTTGGCGTTTTTGAACTTTAAGTGTCTTCTAAAGATTGTGAAATTTTCCAATCGCTTCTTGGTTCAATTTGGAAAATACGAATTTTGATAAGAGAGAGCGCAGTTGGATAGAAGCTTCTATTTTGAGACCCATGTTAAACTTTTAGCATTTTTTGCGTGAACTATCTTCTAAAGGTTGTGGAAATTTGCTAGTGGCCTTAGTTTGAAAGCTGCGAATTTTTAATAGTGGAAACCGTTTGGTACGAGCTTCTATTATAATAGCAATTTTAACTAAGCTGGTAAAAATTCTAATTTTGAAATATTTTCTTGAATCTTTCAGCATGTTTAAACGCCAGCGATTTCTTAAGATTAGTAGAGTTTCCAAGTGCTACTTGCTTCAGTTTAGAAGATATGATTTTTTTAAAGAAGCACGTTTTAAGAGAACACATTTGGCGTACGATGTTCTGCTTTAAGTTCGATGTTTAGTAGACTGAAAAATGTTGACATTCTTGGTAATATAGATGAAAATTTCAGCATCGTGAGGGTGAATCGTTGCCTAAAAATTGCAAAAATTTGAGGTTACTGGCTGCTTTATTTTGGAAGATTCGAATTTTTAAAAGATGGAACGCAATTGGTTTTTGAACATTTTGCATGCTATTTGCGCTGTTTGAAAAGAGCGTGTTTCGCGTGTGGCAACATCGGCGAACGTAGAAAAGTTGGCCACTAATACGACTTTTGCGACTGAACTTGTATCAATATTATAATTTACTGTGTGCAAGTAAGCTTTAAACTAAGATCAATAGCTGTCGATAAAGCACGTGGGTTACGTTACAATAAGAATACTTAAACAAATATAATAACAGTGACCAGTTCAATTTACTTTTGCGCACACTGTGCATAAACGTCCCTGCACTAAAGAAAAGTGATTCTTTATTATAATCGCTTTTGAACGGAAAATGATTCATTCGGATAAAAATGTTTCTGTTCTTCTGTTCTGATAGATAGAAGTGCGTGAACAGTTTTCCGAATATTAAACCTGTGGTCTTTCAGGTCGTACAACGCCAGTGGAAAAGACGAATCCTGTTTGGCCATGATAAATAAACCACATGTGAAAGGAACTCACTGGCACGATGAGGAATGCAGCCTGCGTAAACCCTTCATCTGTGAAGAGAGCGACATACTGCTGAGACATGTGGAGGACGGTTACTTTGACTATGAAGAAAACTCCTAGCACGGTCTTTGAGTGATTACAATCACCTCCCATGCCTCTCAACTCCACACACGCCACAGTATGCATACGTCGAGTTAGGCGACAAACATCTGCCAGCATTCGATTTTGCTGTCCGGCGAAATGGGGATTTATTGATGAATTAATCTCTGAATGGACTAAAGCCTACTATTACAATATCACGTATGCGGCCCATGCATGTATACAGGGTATACTCGGAATTTAATAGAAGGCAGAAAAGCGCAGTGACTGTGCCCTGTGTACATATACTTGGGCCAAATTAGGTGCATGAAATCGCAGCTATTTTCAAATTAAATTAGTCGCTCCAGATATAAAATTCGAATTTGATAAACATTTGAAAAAAATGAAAGAGCAAATTTCGGCATTTAGCTCCATTTCCAACCGGCCGTACTCGCATTATTCGACACTCACAACACGTTCTCCATGCTCGACCCTCCATGGGGACAGCTTCCACTGAATTATGTCCGCATGGTAATGGATATCCAAATAAAATGGCGTGTTTCCCGATGCGTTCTGTCATCGAAGCAAACAAATGACTCTGCCCGGATTATGCCCGCTCGTAATTTGAGACTGACAGATGGGTTGGACGAAAATAACCCGACTGATGACCCTGAGAAGAGTACAGGATGTCCACTAACTATTGCAATAGAAGTGATGATCGTCCGAATTCCGAATCCACCCGGAATAACTGCCCGGCTTTCACCGATTTATTAATTTGCTTTTGCACAGCTAGAATGGTGGTTGCTGAGGACTTTGCAACTCTAATACCGCCCTAATTGCATAAAACCTCGAGCGCCTGGGGATTTCCACTATTTGGAATAACCATTGGGATATTGCTGGATCCTGTGCGGTTTCAACTGAGAAATCCAGTTTTGATTAGTTTCGGATTGTTGACTTATTTCCAAACGGCATTCGAGGGAAGAAAATTACCTAATTAGAATGGAAGCAGCAAGCGCTTTGAAAAACAATCGTAATAAACTCCTGCGAAGAAATCAATCAGAAATGTTATGAAACTGTTTCCTTGTTCAACGTTCACTGTATCTACTAGAAGTGGATAACGGTTATTTTTCTGTAACGGGTTACAACGTTCCAGTTTCACCTTGGTAATAGGTTTCAAAATGCGGTTCCAAAAGGAACCTGTTACTTTCGAACATTTTTATTAAAAATGCAGAATGATGATGATAGTAGAAATAGTGAGGATATATAATGGTTTCCTTTATTGAAAACATCATTTTTAACATTGGTAAACTAAAAAAAATATATTCTCAAATCAAAAACAAAACATAGGTCCGAAGTAACTACTTAAAGAACAAAAAGGCTGATAATAGTAAAACAAGAGTGATTAAATAAAACATACGATTTATATGCGAAAATGTTTAAAAATCCCATTTTCATTTAAACATGAATTAACATTTAAGAATAATTTTTTTTGCAGATGCTTTTTACTGATTCTAGTTCTTCGCGCGTTTATGACAGCACCCGCTTTAGAAAATCATCTCTCGCATTTCGTTTCACAATAACATTAAATAATCCACAATAACAACAAACGGAAATGCGTGTTTGGCAATCCTGGACGAAGTGTTACTCGAGTTAATTTTGATACCACCAAAAAATAATCTAAAAAAATATATGTCGACATTACAACGTTTATAACTATTGAAATAACTTTCATTTCATCTCTGACTGAATTTATATTTAAAAATGGTCAGCTTGCTTAAATGCAGGAGCACATTCTGCTTAAAACGTTTGTTATTTTACATATCAACTGTGCTGGAATTTATTTAGTCTTAGACTCTTAGTTTGCTCATAGCTTATATGCAAGTGCACATTCTGCTTAGTTTGCCGGTAATGATAATAGCTCCCGAGCAAAGTTTCTGGAGAGAAATCCCTTTTTTTAACATTTATTACAGAATGTCAGAATACTAAATACTTTTTTTCACAAACTTCTTTTTGGGTATTTCGCCTCAAAAATTTTTGTCTTTATAAAAGACAGAATTTCCTCACGTCTTTTATTACAGATTGATAAATAGTGC